CCTTGTGACCCTTGGACCGACTTTCCCCCCGGAAAAATCCAAGATCCAACACTTTGGCCTCCGGTGAATAAATTTTTTTTTCAGTTTTCACTTTTTCCACATACTTTTGAGAGTTGTGAGTAGCCCGTCGCTTAAATAGTTGGGATCAACGTTCACCCGGCTAAAAAATTCGATTTAGGTGAAAATCCACTTGCCCCGCAAAACCCGAAAATCTGACCCTTTGGCTGGGGCCAAAAAAAACGGTTTCTCAGTTTTCACTTTTTCCACATACTTTTGAGAGTTGTGAGTAGCCCGTCGCTTAAATAGTTGGGATCAACGTTCACCCGGCTAAAAAATTTGATTTGACTGAAAGTCGACTTTCCCCTTGAAAAAATCCAAGATCTGACACCCTAGGGCTCCAGGTGCATATGAAATTTTTTTATTTTATCGTATTATTCTCCATTTATTCAATACAATTGTTCCATAAATGACCTTTTTACACCTCCCAATAATCGGGAAATCTGTTCTATCGACCGTCAAACTCATTGCTATCGAAAAACTAAAAGCTAAAGACACGGCGCGCCCTCCTACCGCCATCTTGTGAACCCACCGCCATCGTATTTCGCAGTCAGTTCGCGATCGGGCAACTCTCGCGAGGTTTCCCATTCTGTCTGTAATTTCGACGAAAATCCGCCAGTCAATGGCAAATCACATACCTGTATATTGTATGAAACAGTGCAGTTGATAAATGGAGTCACGGTGTTTGTCAAGGTAGTTTTGTTTACGCGAAGAAAAAGATTTTTTTTGCCCACTCGGAATATAAAAGCACCCTATACGTCTTGTGTATGTTGAGAGGTAGATGAAGGTGTGTATTTTGATTAAGTCTGATAATAGATGTAACTGCCGGTACCATATTGTTGACATTTGAGAGTTTAATTCTTTTTTATTTTGCACCTAGAGTCAGTGATAATGTGGGGTACTCCAAATCGTTATAAATCGGGTATTTAATCAAAATCTGAATACTTTATCCACTAATTGCACTGGGGATATTATTTTGTTATGGGTATGACATTGAATTGGCATTTGTAGGTGATATTTAACATGGTAATATTACTCCAATTCCATACGAATAATTCCATCATAGGTTATGGGTTTCGCGCTCGATCTTTTCTCCACTAACTCCAGTAAAACATTTGTTTTCGAGTATTTCTCGATCCTTAGACTCAAAGTACACCAACTCCATCGATTTTACTCGTTATTTTCATTCTATTTAATTCAGGAATAACATCTGGGTGTGGGATTGATGCGTTTGAGGTTGGTCAGGATTATTTGATCGCTGCAGCGATTGACTGATTGCATCCAAACATCTCCACAGGTGTTAATCGAATCAACTTGTGTCATTGAGCTAATTGTGTTACTTTTCAGTCAATATTTATTTGGAGAAGTTTTACGGGGGTTGAATGTAGCTCCCTAGTTATCCTAAATCATAGTCCTTATCCCGGTGACACTTCCTGTGAATTTGAATTTTATTTGAGAACTTTTATCCTGAACTTCAAGGTTTCAAACCAATTTAGATTTTTTCCATTTTTATTTTTTTCTGAAAAAAATTTTTGAAATCATTTTGGAATAAATTACATGAAAGCCTAGTACAAGAAGAAAGTTAATGCGTTTTATTTTATTAAAGTTTTATGGGTCTCGCACTTGTGTAATTTTTCAGTGAATGTTCATTTGGAGAATTTTTACGGGGGTTGAATGGAACTCTCTGATTTTCTTGAATCATATTCCTTATCACGGTGACTTCCTGTGAATTTTTCTTTGAGGATGTTTATCCTAAACTTCAAGTATTCAAACCAATTTAGATTTTTTCTATTTTCAGTTTTCCTTTTGGAGTCTTCTAGTAGATGAATTATTAATTCGAAAATTAATCACATAAAAGCCTAAGATAAGAAGGAAATTCATGAGTTTTATTTGGCCAAGTTTTATGGGTTTCGCACTTCAATTTTTCTTTATTAACTCCAATAAAACACTTGTTTGCGAGTTTTCCTCGATCCTTTGCCTCAAACTACAACAACTCCATCAAATTTACTTACTATTTTCATTCAATTTAATTGAGAAATAACATCTGGGTGCGGGATTGATGCGTTTGAGGTTGGTCAGGATTATCTGATCGCTGCAGTGATTAACTGATTACATCCAAACATCTCCACAGGTGTTAATCGAATTAACGTGTGTCATTGACACAATTGCGTAACTTTTCAGTGAATGTTTATTTGGCTAAGTTTTACGGGAGTTCAATGGAGCTTCCTGGTTACCTTAAATCATATTCCTTATCACGGTAACCCTTTCTGTGAATTCGAATTTTATTGACGATGTTTATCCTAAACTTCAAGCATTCAAACCAATTTAGATGTCCTCCATTTTCATTTTTTCTTTCTGAGTCTTCTAGCAGATTAATTTGGAAATCAATAGCATAAGAAGAAAATTCAGTTTATTTTGTCTACGTTTTATGGGTTTCGCACTTGAATTTTTCTTCATTAACTCCAATAAAAGATTTGTTTTCGAATTTTCCTCGATCCTTTAACTCAAACTACACCAACTCCATCGGTTTTACTCAGTATTTTCATTCAATTTGATTCAGAAATAACATTTGGGTGTGGAATTGATGCGTTTGAGGTTGGTCAGGATTATTTGATCGCTGCAGCGATCGACTGATTGCTTCCAAACATCTCCACAGGTGTTTATCGAACTAACGTGTGTCATTGACATAATTGCGTAACTTTTCAGTGAATGGTTATTTGGCGAAGTTTTATGGGAGATTTAATGGATCTCCCTGGTTACCCTAAATCATGTTCCTTATCACGGTGACCCTTCCTCTCATGCTGGAGTGCCTCTCGAGGGCTGAGACTATCCTCAAACACTCCAGCTCCATTGCTCAATCCCTGCATGCCAAACATCCTGATCCCTGTGAGAATCATCGTAGGTCAGTTATCATAAATCGAATTCATTAACTAATAATTTAGTTCTTCATTCTTCATAATCTAACTGAATCCATCAACAATTCAATTAATCCTCGATTGTCTGATAATCTCATTAGTATTTTCACCACCTCATGTAATTTATTTGCGCATAATTAGATTACTTATTGGACCTATCAATGATTCAATGACTCTTCAACAGGATTCAAGATGTCCCGAAACCATAAGGACAAGTATGAAAGCTCAAACCCGCGTCGTACGCACACTATTATGTCCACTGAGGACGCCAACTCTGGTAAGAAATCTTATTGGCCGGAGTTGGAGATAACAGGCAGTATAAGAAATTTGAGTCCCAATATATGGCAATTGACTCATTTAACTGCACTATATCTCAATGATAATAGTTTACAAAGGATACCACCTGAAATAGGACGTTTAGCTCAGTTGAGAGTACTTGATTTAAGTAGTAATAAACTACGCAGTCTGCCTGCTGAACTTGGGGATCTCATCTACCTCAAGTAAGTGATTGTTTTTTATTTTTGTTATTCACTGTTGGATGAAAAATCGTTCAAATTTCAATTGTGTGCAAGCATTCAAACCAATTGTGGTTTTTCTATTTTGTTTTAATTTTCTAAGCCTTATGGAGGGTGAATTATCAATTTCGAAACAAATCCCTCGAGTTCAGTGGATAAAAGCTGTTTGTTACTTTCTGTTGAATTTCAACAATAATTTTCCAACAGTTCTGTCGATTGAATAAATCTGGAGATAATTAAATACTTGTTTCATTTGAGTTTAAATTTTTATTGACAATTGATATGTCTATTTCAGGGAGTTGCTTTTAAATCAGAATTTTCTCCGAGTATTACCGTACGAATTAGGAAAGTTATTCCAGTTACAAGTGCTTGGACTACACGGAAATCCACTCAGTAAGGAGATGATGGCCGTCTACGGCGAACCATCGGGGACTCACAAGCTGCTGTCGTACATGCTCGACAATTTACAAGGTAAGATTTAGTTAATTCAATTCAGGAGACCAGAAATTATCAATTATGGGGTTGAAATTTAATTTCCCCTGGGTCTCATCTATTTGTTTCCCCATGCATGAGTTGCTAGGAGTTTTACGGGATACTTTAAGTTGTAATTCCATTTTTATATATTATCAACGGTTTAGATCTCAATTTATGTCGTTTTAAAATTAAATTCAGCTCCATTTCACAGTATTGCCATTTCAAACAGTTTCCTAGTTTGTCGAACTGCCTTGACGAGTCCAAAGCTTTCCGATAGATGACTCGCCATGCATTGCATAAACGGATATTTCGGAAATTCATTAAATATCCAAAATTAATGGAAGTGTAAATTGCCTCGAGAATTCATTATGAAATATTAAACGCTGAGGGTAATCAAAATTCATGAAAGGATCCACTTTGAATGACGAGACAATAATGGAATATTATGTTTGACTTGAATACCTTTGGTGCACCGTAATAAGTAAAGTGGATCTTTCTACGTTATTATATTTCAATCAACTTAGCACACATGTAGCTGAAGGAATGGATTCAATTTCATTAGGAGAAAAATTAAGCTCCAGCGAAACTTAGCAGTGGAATATTGACTTCCCACTGAAGCACTCACTTTTATTATGAAAAATTTATTATTTTACTCGTCTGTACTAGAATTTTTTTTTGTGTATCTTAAGGATTTAGATCTCAATTAATGCCTTTTTTTATTTTTGGAGTGGCATTTGTCTTAATTTTACTGCACGACCGTTTGACACAATTGCCTGTTTTACCGAACTGATGTGACGAGTCCAAAGCTTTCCGATAGATGACCCCTCATGTATTGCATGAACGCACACTAGAAAATTCATTTAAATATCCAAAATTAATTGCAGTTTAAATTGCCTCGAGAATTCATGATGAAATATTGAACGCTGAGGGCAATCAATATTCATGAAAGGATCCACTTTGAATGGCGAGGCAATAATAGAATATTATATTTGAATTGAATAGCCTTGGTGCAATGTAATAATTAAAGTGGATCTTTCTACGTTATAATATTTCAATCAACTGAGCACACATGTAGCTCAAAGAAAGGGCTCACTTTAATTTGAATCTGAATGAAGAGCCAGAGAAAATTAGCAGTGGAATGTTGACCTCCCACTGAAACACACTCTTTTTTCACTTGTGTATATATGATTAAGGGTTTAAATCTCAATTTATGCTGTTTTGGAATGGAATTCTTCTTAAATTTCACTGCATGATCATTTGACACAGTTGCCTGTTTTATCGAACTGATGTGACAAATCAAAAGTATTCCGATAGATGACTCCTCATGTATTGCATAAACGGACACTTTGGAAATTCATTTAATATCCAAAATTAATGAGAGTTGAAATTGCCTCCAAAATTCATTATGAAATATTGAACGCTGAGGGCAATCAAAATTCATGAAAGGATCCACTTTGAATGACGAGGCAATAATGGAATATTATGTTCGACTTGAATAGCCTTGGTGCAACGTAATAATTAAATTTGATCTTTCTACGTTATAATATTTCAATCAACTGAGCACAAATGTGGTCAAAGAATGGGTTCAAGTTAATTTGAAGGAGAATGAAGAGCCAGAGAAAATTAGCAGTGGAATACTGACCTCCCACTGAGGTACAACACTTTTATCATGGAAAATTTATTATTTCACTCGTGTATATTCATTGGGAGGGCTGTGCATGAGGCACATTAGTGCCTACATAATTTGATTTCTTTTATCATTCGGGGTCAAGTGGGTGTGCCAAGGCGCAAGCGCCAGTGGGTGGACGTTCGTGATTTCCATGATGTTCTATGGTGAAGTCCTGTGGGGCTTTGGGATGATGCACTGAAGGAGGGCGTGCTTCACCATTTCCATTGTATTCTTCCTCTTACTCTATTGAATTTTTGCACGTTGTCCACAACGATTGCCCCAGAGCCCCTCACTCCTTCTTTCTCCTCCCTCTCACTCGTCTTTTACCTTTTCCTAGACCATTGTTCCTGGACTTTTATCATTCTGGCATGACGTGCTCGTCATCATCTCGGGATTTATCACAGGCGTTTCATCTATGCGAGCGTTTATGGAGTTATCTGTAACGAGATCAGTTTCATGAAATCAAAGTGCTAAAAATCGAACTCAATTCTCGGCGATTGGTGATTTCTCAACTACCCGAACCAAAGGGAGGATGTTATTGTAATGACGCCGAGAATGGAATGTTGAATTTCCATTATTTGTCCGCGTTTCATGACTAAAGTCATTTTTAATCATTTTTGAAGGACATGTTTGTGTGTGAACAAGTGAAGCCATTCAACTTGTTTTTTTTTGTTAATAGATGCGTCTTCATGTGACTTAGAACTGATTAGTTTATGAAAATGATCACCTAAGCGGTTCGATTTGCCTAAAACAGGTGAACAAAACTTGAAACAAGTGGGAAATTGCTTTCGTCACAAGATCGAAATATTTTTGCTAATAACTGAGCAGTTTGCTTCCGAATGAAATTTCGGTTACGATGTATTTTAAATGGAATTCAATGGTTCATCAACTCAATTCCGACTCAATGTTGCGCAAAATCTTCTTAGCGGTTGTTTAGTTAGCCGGAGGAAACTTTCAAAATTTGTCTTTTATTTATAATTTACCAACGTCGGTGACCGGGTGAGCTAGACGCAAGTCTAATGTGCGAAAGGTTGTGAGTTCGATCCCAAGTGGAACCGAATTTTTCAACGGAAGGCTCCGACGAGCGGGAGGTTGCTAATAGAGTAACCGCCTGTACCGGCATGGGTATCCTGTGGTTTCCTATGCTACTCCTATGTTCTATAGGAGTGTGAATGCGGTACAGTGTAGAATCCACAGCCGCATGCATAGGGTTGGCTAGAGTGCCGAATGGAACCCAAACAAGGGACTCGAAGATAAATTAGAAAAAATCTGATTTAACAGAAAACAGGAAATCGGTCGGGAAATCGATTCACTATGAATTCATCCTCTTCTGATTTTCGAGTTTGGCGCTGGGTGGATAGTATCATATTTATCAATTTCTGTCATTGCCCCTATTATTATTGATGAGTGTTCTGTAATGGGCAATTACTGCTGCGCAATTTAATGAGCATAAATTTTAATAAGTAATGTGAAACGTTTTGTCGGGTTAAAGTTGGAATTGAAGGCGATGTACCATTCGGAGGGCTTAACCATGTTTTCTGAGAGTGCTTGTTAATTCTTTTGAATATTTCCTTGAATATCACTATTTTGATACTATTTTATTGTCAATATTCCGCAAATAGAAAATAGAAATATTTTTAAAACAATTTCTGTGATTACAACTTTTCAAGTACAACCTTATCTATCATGATTAACGATTTCGGAATGCAAATTAGTTATGAATATTTCGAATGGCACTCAGAGGAATCATTTATAATCAACAATTGTCCACTTATCAAACAAAAATAGCTGTGATTCCACACTTCAAAAGCGTTAATAACGGCTCAAAAAATTTCTCCCATCCACCTCTTTAGTGATAGCATTATTACTGTTGACCTTAACAAGCGCAAACTGTGATAAGCAATATTAAACTTTTTGTGACTTTGAAGTTTAATATAAATGCAATGTATCAAGTGACAAGCTTCAAGTGACTTTAGAATTTCATATCCGCTTTAGCAAACTTGTCGTTCTGTTCAACCCATCCGTACAACCTCTAAGTCCTTTTATTACTTCAATACATGTAACTTGGAATTTTCACTGTTGGAAACCACGTTTCGAATCTTTTACCGTTGAAAATCTTGACTACGGTGACTCGTGAACGAAAGTTAAGCGGATTAAATGTTGGGGAGGGGGAGGATGGAGTGATGAGAGGGAGAGGGAGGAAATGGAGACCGCAGCCAACAGAGTTTTGTGTAACTAGGATTTAACATTTTACAGGCTTTAGAGCTTGACCCATTTTATCACCACAGCAACTCATTTCATTGGTATCAACTGAACTTGGCACTGAGAATGAGAATAAATGTATTTTCATTCCACTCGGGTATGCTATTTTTCCCAGGGGACAGGGGTTTTTTTTACCGTCATTCTCGTCAATTTCTCAATGGCTGGTGAATCATTCATCTTCATTTCTTATTTCACTGTGGGTTGAGCGTCGAATAAGCCACCAGAAGATGAGATCGTGATACTGGAAATTGTTGGAGTCGCTCCAAATCCAAGAGTCCTCAATTTTTCAGGGTTCCGATGTTTTTTCGTTACGCCCACGGGGGAGACCCACATCCCTTTGAGACGGTACTTTAATCTTAGTCAAATATTCAAGGATTTTTTTTTCCTTTTCGCTGGGAAAATGGGTAATTCAGGGGCTTGGTCGTAGTAGATTCATTACTTAATTTTTTTCAGGTTATGATGGGGATGTAGGCTTTTTTTTACGTTGATGGAGATTAATCATTGTTTGGGTCGGGATATTCATTCGGTTCTGTGATGAGGAATTTAATTTTGACTTTTTTTTTATTCGTTTGGGTTTTTTCAATTGATTTATTGAATATTTCCTGGGGGTTTTCGCTTTTGAGAATCCTTTGAGGTTTTTGCATGAATACGTAGGAAGCTCCACTCTCCAAATGGAGAATTCATTGGACTTTGAAATGCAATATTGTTTCAGGGCTTTTTATTTCCTTTCATTGGTTTTGGATGAACTCTCGTTTTGGCGTCTGATCCTCATCAATAATTTGAGTTTTTTTTTCGTAATAAATCTACAAGGTCTCTTTTTTTATATAATTTTTTTTATTTATCATGTATTCCACTCGACTCAATCACTCCGATTTACTTATATAAAATTTTCATCTTCTTTCCTCTCTTGATTCATCATCAATTTTCCACTGAAACTGTAAAATTTTTCAATCTAAAGTTATTCCCTGTTTTTTGTATCTCATTTATCAAAACTGAGTGTTTTTGCTACCACGAGTGCATAAAATCTCTCTTAGTGGAGTTTAAATTTATTTCATTATAGAATATG